CCACGGGCCCTGCTCTGTGTGTGATGGGGTAGAGCCATAACCTCCCCATTGGCCCTGCCCCGAGTGTGACAGTGGTGGCGCCCCAACCCCCCTGATGGGCCCTGCTCTGTGCGTGACAGGGGGCAGCGCCCAACCCCCTGATTGGCCCTGCTCTGTGCGTGACAGGGGGCAGCGCCCAACCCCCTGATTGGCCCTGCTCTGTGCGTGACAGGGGGCAGCGCCCAACCCCCTGATTGGCCCTGCTCTGTGCGTGACAGGGGGCAGCGCCCAACCCCCTGATTGGCCCTGCTCTGTGCGTGACAGGGGGCAGCGCCCAACCCCCTGATTGGCCCTGCTCTGTGCGTGACAGGGGGTGGCGCCGCAACCTCCCCATCGACCCTGCCTTGAGTGTGACAGGGGGCGGTGCCCCAACCCCCCAATCGGCCCTACCCTGAGCGTGACTGAGGGTGGCATTGCAACCTCCCGATCCGCCCTGCTCTGTGCATGACGGGGCGGCGCCCCAACTCCCCAATCGGCCCTGCTCTGAGCCTGACCAGGGGCTGCACTTAGGGATTGGGCCTGCCCTCTGCCACCCGGGAGCAGGCCTAAGCCAGCAGGTCGTTATCTCCCGAGGGGTCCCAGACTGCGAGAGGGCACAGGCCGGGCTGGGGGATCCCCCTCCCCCCGCCCCCCGAGTGCACAAATTTTTGTGCACCGGGCCTCTAGTATATATATATTCTCAATATATATTTCTCTCTCTCTCGCTCTGTCTCTCTCTTTCTCTCTTTCTACACACACACACACGGATGGGCAAAAGTAGGTTTACAGTTGTTAGTATGCAAAAGTTTATTCTTTTATTATTTATTGATTATATTATGTATTTGCATTATTATTTCTTGTTTTTTTGTATCCTTACTTCTGATAGTGGTGGCTGGTAATTTAACCTACTTTTGCCCACCCTTTGTGTGTGTGTGTGTGTGTGTGTGTGTGTGTAGATAGATAGTCTACTGTTGGACATTTGAGTTATTTCCAGGTTTTGGTAATTAAGAAAAGGGCTGCTATGAATGCTCTTGTGTATTATCTTTTGAAGAATGTTTTGCTGAACTAATTTCTCTTACCTCTTATATATCTAGGATTGGATTGCTGGTTCATGGAGGTATTCATCTGTTTGGCTTTAGTGGGTACTGCTAAGAGTTTTCCAAAGTGGTTATTCTGGTTGATACTTCCACTAGTAGTGTTTGAGGGTTAACTTACCCTGCTTCCACATCAACTCTCGTCTATCTTTCTATTTATTTTAGTCATTCTGGATAGATTATAGTGATATTACAATGTCATTTTACTTTGCCTTTCCCTAATGAACTTTAGCACTTTAAAGATGTTTAGTGGCCATTTAGATTTCCTCTTTTGTGAAGTACCTATTCTTTTGCTAGTTTTTCTGTTGAGTTATATCTTTCTTATAGATGTATGAGTTCTTTATATATTCTTGATACGAGTCCTTTGTCAAACATATATATTACAAAGATCTTTCTCTTCATAGTTTCCTTGTTTGCTGTTGTACTGAACATTGGATTTTTACTGCAAGGTTAATGGAACTGCTTAATTGCTACTTGCAAAATGGGGGGTCTGAACTGCTTTTGATCGGTGTTGGGGACGGTTCCTCCATTGTGAAGGTGAATTGGACACTGGTAAGGTGTACCTTACTGTGTTCCTGTCAAGAACCTATCTCCTCCCAAACAGTTTGGAGATTGATCTTTTTCTTTCTTGGCTTTCAGGTCGTGGATTCACAGATAAAGTAGATCGACTAAAACTGGCAGAAATTGTGAAGCAAGTGATAGAGGAACAAACCACGTCCCATGAATCCCAATAATGACAGCTTCAGACTTTGTTTTTTTATAATCTGAAAAACTATTCTTTAATGTATAAAGTAATTTTTATGTAAATTAATAAATCATTTCATTTTCACATTGCTTAAAGATGCTGTATAGATTTAGATAATGGTATTTACTAATAGTATAGTTCATTTGTTTGTTTTTAAGAAAAGCTTAGCTCCTAGAAATATACATTATTTTAGGACTCCTTAGTCATGTTTGTAAGATGACAGATATTATATCAAGCAAGATTGTTTTATTTGTAATAAAGTATATAAAAACCACTTGTCAGCGGTAGACAAAGGACCAACTATACTGATCTTTCTGCTTAGTAAACAGTTAAATCAAATACTGTGGAATTTGGTTTTAATTGCCCTGTGTATTTACTCTCTGCACTATTGGTAGATTAGCCTTGATGCCAAGAAATGTTTGTGGATCCATGTTGCAGACTGTCTGCTGAAATTCACAAGATGTTGGCTCCCATGATGGGAGAGGCAGGGAGCTGAGCCTTCATTTTTGTTGTCCCTAATTCCTAAGAGAAAAGTGGTAACACTTTTTTTTTTATTGGCCATATTTGTTAAAAGGAATTGGTGTGATTCTTAAATCTAATGGATTATCTTTTGAGTTTATTCTTTTTATGTTTAATCAAAATTTCAGTTTCCCTTCCCCTGAGACCCTACTTTTCCTCTCTCCTTCCTGGCAGCCCTCACCAGCTCCATTGCTTCCTATGTCCTTTCCCTGTTCTTCTGGCCCACTTAGGGGGTGGTTTTTCCGAGAAAGTAACATTTTATGAAAAGTGGACTTTTGGATTAGCATCTAATAGGGTCCAGGTTGTTTTTCCTCTTAAAGTTGCCCTTTTTTTCTGTAATGTTTCTGCCTAGGTTTCATGTCGGCATCCTCTGGGCTGCATTTATTTTGTTCTGCCACCTTCATTATCGGGAAGCATGCTTCTGGCCAAGTTCAGCTGTTTGAATGGAAATCAAGGCTGGATGCTTTTCTGTTTTTTTTGTGTGTGTGTGTTTTTAAAAATATATTTTATTGATTTTTTACAGAGAGGAAGGGAGAGCGATAGAGAGTTAGAAACATTGATGAGCGAGAAACATTGACCAGCCGCCTCCTGCACAACCCCTACTGAGGATGTGCCCACAGCCAAGGTACATGGCCTTGACCGGAATCGAACCTGGGACCCTTCAGTCCGCAGGCCGACGCTCTATCCACTGAGCCAAACTGGTTAGGGCTATTTTTTGTTGTACAAATGGACTTCCATAACAAATCATGTTTAAAAAAATTTTTTTTAGAAGTTAGGCTGTGTTCCTAAGAAGAGCTAATAGACAAACTCCAATTCTCAGAGCAGAGGGAAAGGATCGGTAGGCTCAGATATTTAGTTTTATTCTGTCACATTCTCTTCAATCAAAATCTACCCCACAGAGCTAACTCATTTTGCTGAGAATGTCATCTAGGTGACATTTGGTTAGTATGGCCTATATATGTATGTAACTGTGCAAATATATTATAATAATACAAAGTATCTTTTAAGAATTACCTTTTTACATTGGTTCCCTTTTATTTTGGAGAATTTATAGTTCAGGTATTTTTTTTAGGTAAGACTCACTAATATTAGGTGAATGGATACCCTGTAAGGAGTATTCAGTACTTTTAAACATGGCAAAATTTAAGAATTAGGCAGCAGGGAAATGTTTTATTTGCTGACCATAAAACTTAGCTAAAAGTTGAATTAAGGGTTGAATTATATTCTATTTTTCAGTGAAATGCAGTCTTACAAATCACTTCTTGTAATCAGGAAAAACTGCACTTGTTTCTTGAACAACTACCTGTTGTTTTTCTTATCTTAGGGCACAGGTTCAGTATTCACTAGGGATACTTTGTTACTCTTCTTTTTCTTCAGAATAACTTTCTAGCATGCCCAGTCTACCATGAACTTCTCAAATTTGTTGTTTATGTGTCTTCTAATGGCTCAGGATGATTTTTTTCCCCTTCAGGGTGTGGTGAATTTTGGGCATGATCTAAAAGGGTATCCCAAATGATGCGTTCTGTTTACTTTGAGCAGCAGTTGCCCATGTATCAGTTGTTTCAGGGTGAATTAATCTGGCCCCCAAATGTGCACTGTCTCCAGACATGTCCAGATGGGCCCCAAGCTGGAAGTTTGTGAATACCCTGTGGATGCGAAGGCTGTCGTAACTCAACAGTGGGTCCTACCCTGGACAGAGCTCCACTGTTTGGTGTTCAAAGTTTTCTCTGTGGAGAGAGTTTGTAGGCCAGTAGCAAATACTGCCGTAACATACCAGTCACTTTCACTGATAAAGCAAAATTTGTAACTGAAAGTGAGACAAAAATTGTCCTTGTCTCTTCTGGCTTATCTCTCTGATGCCCCTAAACCTACAGAAAGTTCATATTGTCAGAACAGTTTTTGTAGGCAGAAGGTTAGAGTCTCTAGTTTTGCCACATGATTTGCTAACCTCTGCTTACTAAAACCATTACTTATCACTCAAATACCTCTAGACATTACCATAGTTATAACTCTGCTTGATGTAAAACAACTTGTATATCTGCCTGGCTAACATATTGTATAAGCATAGGAGAATATCTGCCAGAAATTTATTGTTTGAAACATAGGAGGAACTTCCTCTTAAACAGTTTCGTTATTGTATTTATTTGAGAAAGAACAAGTTGAAGAAATTATTAGTTAAAGAAGAAGTCAAATGATTTAAATCAGACCTTGTGTATGAATGCTTACGTGTGTGTTATTTATTGAAGAAAATGTGTTTCAATTTGGGAACTGGAAAATTGGATATTTAATTTTAATTATATTTTTATTTATTTAAAAAGTAGAGGTTTTCTTTCATTATTGATTTAATTCTTTCATCCCATAAAATGACTTAACCTAATTTGCCCTGCCTGTTTTGGTTAAGACACAGGGAAGCACCTTAAATCTGATAATTTCTAAATTACATAATTTTAAGAGGCTTTCTTTCCACTTATATTAACTACAAAGAAAAAAGAAATCCAGCTAGAAATCATTTCACCTTTTTGCTGTAAAATTTTAAAATAGGTATTTTATCATCTATATGAGGACTTAAATATTAATTGGGGATAGTTGATGAGTTGATCTGCTCATGCTCATATTTGAGATCTTGTGGTATCATATCATTCTGAGATAGGGTAGTTTCCCATTTTTTTTGTGTGTTAAACTTGTACTCAACCCTAATTTTATATTGTAAATATTTGACTTAATATAAATTATTTTTATGCAAAGTAAAGGATCTAGAGTTTTATTTAACTTCATCTTAGTATGCACAGGAAAATAACTAGACAAGGGTTGTGGATAGGGCTTTTCCCTGCCTTTTTACCTTTTAAATTTGTACGGTTGAATACACCAGGATATTAAGATAAAACCTGTGGACTTGTACAGAGATTAGAGTTTAATTTTAGTTACAAAAGTGAAGAAATCTTTTCAAAGGTCTTATAGAGTTCACTTTTATTTTCTTGATGAAATGGTATCTAGGTAGTTGGTTAATAATCAGCTTGTTTTTATGTTGGGACAGTTGAGAAGAAATGAACTTTGATCCTAGTCACTTAAACTACCTCCATGGTGAAACTGAACTCATTTCATTTAATACTTAATATGTCTCTATGTTAGGAAAACTTCTTAGAAGATAAAAATTATGTTTATATTTAGATATAAAATGTCTAACTTCATCTTTCATGAACAAAGGCTAATGAGGGAGAATTTGTGAATCTGCATGTGATTTTTTTTAATTAAAGGCAAAAAAATGATACTGACAATGAAGGGCTGGACTGAGAAAGAGTACCCTGTATTACAACAGAAATGAGGAAAAGAGGTAGTGGGCAACAGAGAACTTTGTCCTGCTCATAGATCCCCCAAGAATCCCTGTCCCCTTCCCCCCAACCTCCTGCCAGAATGTTGGGTTTCAAAGAATGAGCAGATTAACGGATATCAGGGAGTTCTGTGGCCTGGACTGAGGATAAGGATAATTTGTCAGAGTTAAAGTACTGGCTGAATCATTACAGACTTTCTACTTGGTATATGTCTCTGTGAGGATAAAGAGAACTTAGACAAGGAGCATTAAAGCTGTTGCTGTTTGAACGAAGTCATACAGTAAGGCAACAACCGAAGATCAAGAGGGAAGCAAGAGTATAAAGACAGCCTCAAATTTGTAAGACCAAGTTGGGAAGCAGTCACCCATAAGGGAGCCAGATTAGATCTCAGTCTCCAAGGTTCAGCATGCCAAGGAAAACTGCTGCTGATGGACACAGGCCCTGCATCATCAACTGATTCACTAAGGCCATGTCAGTGGCCACCTCTATGAGAGATTCTGCCTCTATACGGCCTTCTCTATGGAAAAACCAAGTGGCCTTAAAAAAGGGTAAGATCAAGTTTCAGACTTGGGCTCAGCAGAAGAGGGACTTAAGGCTGGGGCCAGTGCCAGGATCTTCATGTATCCGTTTGGGAATTGTGATACTATTGGTGGTTTTCCTGCCAAGTATGTACTGTGACCTGGGGTCAGTATATTATACTTTCTATGAAATAATTATTCCCAAGGGGCTGATACTTCAGGAAAGGGATGGCCAAGAGAAAAATACATCCTACATGATATTTATGCAGGGTCAGAAACAGGTGATTCACCTGAAAGTGAAGACAGACTATTTTATCAAGAACTTTCCAGTCTTCAGCTACCACAATGGCACCCTGGGACAAGAAATGCCTTTCATCTCACATGACTGTCACTATGAAGGCTACATAGAAGGACTCCCGGGTTCTTTTGTTTCTGTCAACACCTGTTCAGGCCTCAGGGGCATCCTGATTAAGGAGGGGAAATCCTATGGCATTGAGCCCATGGACTCTTCAAAACGGTTTGAACATGTGTTGTACACCATGGCCCATCAAGCTCCAGTCTCCTGCAGTGTCACTTCCAAAGACAGCACAGTGGTGTCCACCAGCCGACAACAAGGGAGCAGGAAGCCTGGCGGTCTACAGGAGCTGTCCTACTTGTGGTCACTCACCAAGTATGTGGAGATGTTTGTTGTGGTCAACAACCAGCGGTTCCAAATGTGGGGCAGTAACGTCAATGAGACGGTCCAGAGAGTGATGCACATCATTGCCCTGGCCAACAGCTTCACTAGGGGAATAAACACAGAGGTGGTGCTGGCTGGAATGGAGATTTGGACCGAGGGGGACCTCATAGAGGTCCCAGTGGACCTGCAAGTTACACTCGGGAATTTCAACAGCTGGAGACAAGAGAAGCTCCTCCATCGTGTGAAGCATGATGTTGCCCACATGATTGTCGGACAGCATCCTGCACAGGGTAT